GGATGCTGACCTCGGTACTAGAAATTACTACTATGAAATTCTGATCATGTTAAAATGTGTTACCTCACTTGTGGTGCTGGGTCTCCTCGTCCTCTCTAAGAAGATGTGATTCATTACTAAACATGAGGTGCCCCTCTTACCCAAGGAGTTCATAATAGGACTCTAGGTCCATAGTGTTTCCTAGTTCTTCCCTCCCAGAGAAAAAGCTGCTTGAGACTTAGGAGTTGCTATGGACTGCACTGTAGTTGATAGCTGCTGTTGAGGTCGAGTCTGAAATCTAAGGAATGTGATGCACTTGTGCAGAGGGATCCAGAAGAGAGAGTTTTTAGTTGGTGTTTCAAGAGTAGGGGGAGAGAGGATGAGTTCCATGGAATACCAAAGTGAAGGACATGAGTCATTCAGCAAAATTTTCTCTTCTTTAATATCCCAAGTAGCTTCCATTCCCTCACCTTTTCAATCAGAATTATAAATCCAAGCCTTCTGGTAAAGTAGGAATGCTTTTTAACCTTTATTACTGAGGTAATTATTTTGAAATGTTAAAGTACTAGTTCTCCCTTAATGTCTTTGGGTATTAAAAAGACCGCTTCATAGTACCAGGGATTTCTTCCTTGAATATATATTTTGGAGGTAGGCAGAGGGAACCCTTACCCATTCATAAATCATGTCACTTAAGAGACACCTAAAATGAGAAGCATTCCCTCTCCTGACCAGAGACAGTGGCCAAAATAATAAATTGTGGGGCTGGATACTTACCAAATCAAACCAGCCTTCTGGTGCTTGAAGGTTTCATTCACTATTACCTGCAGAGGATGTCAAGAAAAGAAAAGTCACAGTAGGCACTCTTTACCAGGGAAATAAGGCAGTATTTGAATCAGAAGATATATTTTTTATTATCTGCTACCATGGATTCAATGATCTGTAGAGCTTTTTCACTCATTAGCTGTCAGGGTGTGAAGGACTGACAGCCTGTAAAGATAAAGATATTTATATTTTTGTATAGTTGTTTTCATAATTTCTCAAATGCTGAAGTTTTCAACCTAGAAGATGAGATTTGTATTGAGTATAGAAATGATGTTTCCTATCTAGTTTGTAAATAATCATGGTGCACTTGAGGGGTCTCTTGGAAATTCCTGGGGGCAAGCATCACTATTCTGAAAATGTATAGACTGGGATTTAGCTGCTGCATTTTGCCTTTCTTAAATAACTATATTTTGGAATGTAATCCCTGTTCTGTCTTCACTGACAGATTTGCTTGTGTTGTCAAGTACTAACACAAGAGCTTCCAGTGCCTGGGCTGTGCCTAGGTGATGCTGTTTCTTCTATAATCTTGCCTTCTTTATCCCAAATCCCACTCAGCATATTTTAAGACCTAGGTGGTGAGACCAACTTTGGAATAGTTTTAGCCAGTGAATTATTACTTCCATGGTTGGGCCCCTTTCTAGTAACTGGTAAGCAACAGATTGAAAAGGGTGGAAAAATTTCCTCTGCAAATATGCAGTGGGAGCAAATTCTTTGTTGGTTTTGTGTTACTTGCCTTTCTAGACCTGCTCATCAGCATTCAACCCTCCTTCCTCTGAAGGTTACTGAAGAAGCTTGAAGTCCATAATGAACACCTTTCAGCTTCTCACTATCCCTGCCACTCCTCTTTGTTCAGCAGATTTCATTCAATGTCTTAGCCAGGGAGTCCAGCACCTGTCCCCCCTGCTAATAATTGTCGTTGGAGAATACTAGTACTTTAATCCAGGTATAGCAATTTCCCATTATTTCCTTGCTTGTCTCATCCTTACTTTTCCTCCTGACTTCCCAAGGTTCTTGTTATGGCTTTTGAGGGTCAGCCAAGGAGCAGGCAAGTGAATGAATAATCCTCAGGAAGAGAAGGACCATTCTGTTTCTGAACACTGTCCCTTTTTTAGAAGAAAATGGGTGAACAGGTAATAATTAGTTCTTGTTGGGAAGATATTTGGCTCTGTTTATGAGAGATGTACAAAGATGGAAATGAGAATTTCAGGTGTTCAAGAAAGGCTGCAGATGTCATTACAAACCTCCAAGATAATGGTGTTTTCCAGACCTCTTAAGACTGAGAAGTTGTCAGGGCTGATTTAAGGAGGAGTGTCTTCAGAACAGTCTTGCAGTCTTGGCAGAAATCTAAACTCCCCCAAAACTCCTACCCTTTAACTTTACCCTCAGAGAAACCAATGTATGAAAATTACATGTGTGATTATGAGAGATGTAGTTGAGTGAGAGGAGTTGAGGAATTGGGAGGATAGTGAGCTCTCACCCTAACTCTATAAGAAGCATGATCTCAGTAGACCAATAATTCGCCTTTTTATACATCTGTAAATAAATGGAATGTTTTTAAGAATATAATTATGTCAGATTTAGCTTTTTCTTTTATATATTAAATATATATCTTTCCTTTTCTGTTTTTGGAAAATGACTATTTTTTTAGAAACTTAACAGAAGATGTTTGGTGAGTGGAAGGCAGAATGTATAAACTTGAAATAAATCAGTTAAAAATTAAAGCCCAACTTGGTGTTGGGAAGTTTGTGCTGAATTGGAGTAGAGAATCCTAATGTCCTGAGACTTTTGAGAGGGGTGTCATTGAAGTAGTTTTATCATAGGAATTCCTTACTGTTTTCAAAGTTCCTGACATGACATTTGGGGTTTTACTGTACTTATAGTAAGTTTTACATGGTGTCTTCAAAATTTTATATAATTTGATGCAAGTATTTGTCTCAAGCAGTCCTACTTCTTGAATAGAAAGGTTAGCCTCATAGTACCAATGTGTGCAAGGTAATATAACTGGTAACCTGGGAATAACAGGACATACACAGTCTTAGTGATTAAGGACAATAGATGTTCTTAAAGCAAGATGTGTTAACTAGTGTGATTTACAAAAAAATTAAAGGAGTCCTTCTGACACTGAACTACTAACAGATCAAGTCCAGTTATACAAACTTTATACAGAGTGCTTTGTGTAATTTTATATAAAGGCAGGGATTTTGTCCTAGAAGTATGTATGAAATACCTGACATTAGAAGCCTATTAAAAGTTTGAAAATGTTTTGAACACAGAAGAAAGGCAGACAATCCATATGTCATTTGGGGGCAGGGTTTAGTAGTGTAGATTTTTTTCTAATTATACTGCTTGAGATGCTGAAATGGAATGAGCTCAAGTGAACTGAGAGGTAAACACACTTTGAAAGTGTGTCTAAAAAATGGTGATAAATCTTGTTCACCACCCCCAGAAATGTAAAAACAAAAAACAATGAACAGAGTAGGCAGCACATTTTCAATAACTTTTATAAAGAATGATAACCAAGAATCAGAATACATTTCTTGCACAAAATTGTTGATTTTGAAGAATGTGTTTGGAAGGGCATAAGTACTTCATGTCATTGTATTGCCTCTAATCAAACTTTACAAGAATATGAATGGCTTGATGCAGAGATTAGAGCTAAGGTATACAGACTCACTGCTGTTTGGAGAAGAAAAGGTCAGTCAAAAATGCATTTTTTGAAAATAAGTTGGGGAAATAATTTGATATATACAACTTTTGAACTGAGGCGTAATTGTACTATATGAAATAATGACTGAACTCCTCTACAAAGATTCCTAAGTGTTCAGCAATAGTTAATGTAGGTGTGTGTGGAGGGTAAGAAGGGTAAACCATAGGATGAGTTGGAAATTTTGAGACAAAATCTAAGCTCTACCAAATTCTTCTATCATAAACTCTGCTGTTAGAGGAGATCTTGTTAAATAGGAAAGTAGTCCTGGGAGCAGTGTTCTGAGGTCCGTCCTGTTTTCAACTGCAAGCTTTAGTCTCAGCTGTCCTGCAGTGCCTTACATATAAAGGTGCTCAATAAATATTTGAATTGATGAGCAAATGTTTACTCTAGCCAGTTAGTTTTCCAGGATCTTATACTTGCACCTTTTTCATTTGGGGGCAAGGGTGAATTTTAAAATCTGATCTAATGAGCATAACAGAAAATTGTGTACTTCTAGAGATCTAGAATTTTAGAATCTGACAACTATGTATGTATACATACTTGGGACATACACAAGCAGAATAAAGTGAAGTAGTGTATAGAGGGTGAAATACAAGTCAACTTCACTCTGGAAGATGGGATGGCACAGATTTAACTTGGACAAGAGGGAATAATGTTTCCATTCACACTGGACCTGGGACTGTTATTTTCTGAGGAGTTCATGAGGCATAACAGCCTATAGCCTGTTTCCATATTGGCACTTCAAAGGCTGCATGGTACCTAAACAATGAAGATTGGACTAAATTGTGAAGAATTAAAAATATATAGTTTTTGCCTTAGACTGGAAGCAATCATATTCTAGACTTAAATTTGATTACATTGTTCTCAGTTGTTTTTCACCTAGATATCTGAGACAATGAAAGCAGAAGCTTGGATTTGCCTATGGAGCTTCAGCTTCAAATGAGAGTAATTTGGAGAACATTCTCTAAGTGCATAAACCAGGATAGCTGTGGACAGGCAATGACCATTAACATTCTATAAACCCCCTTACCTGGCCATTATTGGTTAGGTAAGTTAGAAAACAATTGGTGGATACAAAAATAATTTGGAGATTAAGGGACAACTTCAGATGGCAGTTGCTGGGGAATGCAGTACACAAGTAAGGACACCAGGTGGCACCATTTCTATTAGCTCCTACCCCCATAGAGAGGAAAGTCAGACTGGCAAGTTGAAGGCATCAGCCCCCTATTTCATACTGGTAAGGCTAATGACACTTATTTCCCTCCTCCAGATTTGGGAAATGTGACAGTTTCATTTTGTATTTTATTACATCTGCAGTGCATGGTTGAAGGGAAGGAATATGCCTCTGCTAGCTATTGACAGTTGTCTAGGTAACTAAAAATTACAGATGTCATTTTTAGTATGTGGCTACAATACACAACAATACATAGCTCTTTTGCCATTTAGCTGTACAAGGCACACCCAGAACAATGGGCTTAGGGGTTCTTTTTTGCTATCATGTCATCTCCCCTGGTGGTTCAAAGGGTCTGGATTGGATGAGACATACTCCAGTGTACTATTTCTCTGGGGCCCAAGTCTTTTGGCTTAGGCTAACCTTTTCATAAGAGAACTGAGGTAGCAAAAAGGCAGAAAGGTTCCTAGGAAAGTGGACTTTTGGCTGAGACACATGAAATATGTAAAGGTGTGTGTGTGTGTGTCCCCACCACGAGCCAGAAAAACTATACGACTCAGTCAAGCGCCACCGGATTGATAGCGATCTCCACAAAGTAAAAGTACTATGGGAAAGGTTTCATGAGTAAATTTTGACTGAACAAGGAAAATGGAGCAAAGAAGTCCTGGTTTAACTGGATCAGAGCACAGTGGGACACTGGAGGCTAAAGAAACCATGAAACATATCCCGGAGCACATTTACTTGTCTACCCTCCCCCACACTCCTGCAACTCTATAAGGCTAACATCTCCCTCTTCCATCATGGCCAATTAGGTCGCCCAGTTCAAAACTGTATTAGTGGTCGAAATAATTACTCAGGAGAGTCATTATTTACACGTACGTCAACGTGCCAGGCAGGCGGCAAGCAGAAACTGTTCGAACCGCTTTAAACCCCAGCGCTTGGTGGGAGCAGAGCCTCACCGCTCTACCTCAATGTTGTAATTCTGAGGTAGGAGTTTTCAGTTTTGGTGCCTCTGGCCCATGAAACGCCAACCATAGCACCCTGGGGGCGTGGTTGCCGTCTAGTTGGGGCTCTGGGAAGGGCAGTCCTCCGGGGGACCAGGCCTGATAATACCATAAAAGGTTCGGTTCTCCCATTTCTGGAGCCGTGTTCTGTTGACCTTCCCCCAGGAGAGATATCCGCGACCACATAGTGCAGAATTCACGGTTCTCGAATCCCGTGTCCGGCTTCCTAGGCCCTTTCATTGGCTCCGCCCCCATAAGGCTTACTCGGCCACTCTCGGAACGCTCTCCTGGATAGAATACAAGCCGCAGCCCCTCCCCCTGGCTCCGCCTACCGAGCCCGTAGCGTGGCCCAGGCTGTAGTTCGCGTTTTGAGCCGCTCGTGCCACCATAGCTGCTGCCACCGCTACCGCCGCGGAGCTGAAATCGCCTAGCGCGATGCCTGAGGGCGCCGTGCGCGGGGCAGTCCCCGCGCCCCAGGGCTGGTGAGGCTGGGCCCGAGTGAGGGCGCTGGCGAGTAGTGGGGGCTTCTGAGGGAGGTGAAAGAAAGGTGCAGGGCTGTGGAGAGCGGAAAGCGAGTCCCGGAGGGTCGGGGTGGAGGGAGGCTCCCGTGGCAGAACGGGTTGCCGGGCCACAGCGAGCCCCGCCGCGCCTTGTCCCGCCGGTCGCCAGCGCAGGTACCCAGGCCCCCTTCTGTGGAGAGCGGAAAGCGAGTCCCGGAGGGTCGGGGTGGAGGGAGGCTCCCGTGGCAGAACGGGTTGCCGGGCCACAGCGAGCCCCGCCGCGCCTTGTCCCGCCGGTCGCCAGCGCAGGTACCCAGGCCCCCTGCAGGACTCCTTGGCGGCGTCCTTCCGTAGATACTGCAGTTGCCATGGGAACAGTTGGGAAGTAACGGGGACCAGACTAGCCGCCAGCCCTACTAGGGCCCATCCCATCCCTCTAGTTAAACGCCTCTGGGCAGGCGTGGGCCTGGCATTTCTTCGCGGCTCAGGCTTTTTTTCCTCCTTTTTCATGGGTTTGTCCTTCAGACGGCATAAAAAAGCAAATAGGTTTGAAGGCGAACATGAGAAGGGAGAGAGCAATACCTAGAGATAGGAACTGCAAACACTGCTAGGCAGAAGCATAAGGTGGCCTCTGCCATCTCAGGTCAGTAAGAGGGCATACTGGAAGGACCTGTGGAGTGGGAAGACAGTGCCACTGGTGAGACAAGTCCCAAGACTTGGCCAGAAACTGTCCCCGAGCCTCCTCATCATGATGGCCGTGGAAGGATCAACCATTACCAGCCGGATCAAGAACCTGCTGCGATCCCCATCGATCAAATTACGCAGAATTAAGGCAGGAAACCGGCGAGAGGACCTCAGCTCCAAGGTGAGTTCTAGTACTGGGAGCCACTCCTTTCCAACCCTCTCCTCTTCTGCTCCATGTTCCTCTTTCATCTTCCTCTTTCTTGGGAAAGAGGAGCACTAGAAGCCCCTGTTGGCACTCAAGATCAATTGTGCCCATTTCTGCCCTTCAAGAAAACAGGGATTTAGTTTTGGGTTAGAGGAAAAGAGCAGCAGGGGTGGGCATTCTGAGATTTATCCATGAAGAGGGGAATAGGAGAAAGGCAGCTGGGTTCAAATGTGGCTCCATTACAAACTAAGTCTGCTTGGGCAAGCCAGTTGATATGCTATGACTCAGTTTCCCCTCTTGGAAGAGTGTAGTGGGACACTGTGTGTAGGGCTAAGCTGTGACTAATGTAGCCACAAGTGTTAGTGTCACAGCTGGGGTCTTGTAAGGCAGTAGTAACAGAAAGAAATAAGCTAAAACATGTAGTCTGAGGAATTGGCTTGGTAAATGATTACCCAGGGTCAGAACAAATTTATTTGTCCCTTCAAGAGAACTAATTTAAACTGAAGCTTCCTGGCTTCTTGGGAATGCTGACATACAAGGAGTAAGCTATCTGCCAACAAAATAGTTCTCTTGGTTTGCTCTTGAACATTGCTTATCTCAATCATTATATGCCAAGAGCTACATCCCATCCTCAGAGGCCAAGTCCCTTCCTATCCTCTTAGTTGTCTGGGTATTGGTCTTTTATGCTTTCTTCAACTTTGTTGAGCTCCCCAATTTTGGAAATACCAAAGTAGACTAAATTTATTTAATCCCTAAGGAAACCAAGGGCTTTCTTCCCCATGGAATTAGATTAGACTTTTGAATCTTGTTAGTAGCCTGTAAATACAGTAAGTAGCATTGTGTGTACAGGATTGCTACAGGCAGAGGCATTTGAGACAGCAGCATTTTATTGCCTTGCCTGTATCTCTTCAGAGATGAGTAAGGCCAATGAAGAATAATTTAGAGTGCTAATGTACAGCATGGCAGGGTTGTGGGAGGACTTAGTTCAGATCCCCATCACTTAGCAGAGCCTTACTTGGATTGTTCAAAACGTGAACTGCTTTCCTGTGTATTTCAGCAGAGGTTGTATTGAACTGAAGTTGGCCATGAGTTTCCATGGCGGTGGAGATAGTGACCTTTCCAAGGATGCTTACTAATCACAGAGGCAGGAGAATGAGCCTGAAACTTAGAAACTGTCTTAGATTGGACTCTCTTCCCTCCTTTGTTGTATTAGGTCATTCTTAGTACAGCAAGCTCTTGTATTCTTGGCTGGAAACTTTGTAATGACCAGTACTATTAGAACAGCCCTTTCATATCTTTGGCCTCTTTTTCTGACCAAGAATGGTATAGATACTAGAAATGTGTGATGGGAGTTTAGTCTTTAGTGTTAATACTGTAGTGTTGGTCTGGAATCCAGAAGGTATGGTCACCATTCTTTAAAACTTCCCATGTTATTCATCATTAGTGCATTCAACAAATGTTCATCATGGCCCTTTTATGCGTGGAGTCAGTGATTAATAGAACATTGTCTTGGCCATCAAAAAGCTTGTGGCTAGTCAGACATGTAACAAAATAATTACAATATGATGTGTTAAGTGTTGTCTACAAGTATGCATAAAGGGTTAGTGGTAGCACTGGGGAGGGAACCGAAGTCAGTTTAGGGGAATTAGGAAAGATTTCACAGAGGAAAGGATGCTTATACTGTGAGTCCTGAGGCAGGAGGAGAAGAGAAGCTCTCCAAGAAAACTGAAAAAGGGCATTTCTGGCATTACCATCAAACATCCCCGTTTCAAATAAGAATTCAGTGCTTCAGACTACTTTAAATGGCTTTATTTGTCCTAAAGCTGTGAATGAAGGAAATACTTTGCCAAAGTTGAATGACCTTTGAATAGTCTGACAGATTCAGAGTGATGGTGCCTATCTTCAGCAACTAAAGGGAGTAGCTGTCTTTGTGTGCCTAGGACCCTGTAGATGCCTGATTCCTCACACTCCTTATTGGAGACTTTCTACCTAAGATAATCCTAAAAGCTCACTTGTGGCAACCCACATAGGACCTGGTGTATAAGGCTTTATGAGCTAACACTTGGTGGCTGTGGATAATCATGGTAATAGGCAAAGAACTTGTGATTCATGGATAACTAACTTTGAAATAAAATATGATGACCAAGAAATATATGCCTTTGTGGGGGTAGGGGAAAGGGGGCAAAGAAGGAAGTGACAGGCCCTTTATGCAGCTCGTACCTCAGATGGTGGCCCACTGCTTTGAATCATTCTGTTCCTTCTGTCTGAAGTAGCCTTTATACCAAATTATCTATTTTTAGATCCAACAATAGATTTACTGGAGCCACAGGGTCTTCTCTCTTCTCTGACTAGACTCGGTACCTTGGAACCAGACTCTTACGTGTTCTTTTATGTATGTCTTCATTACCTAAGATAAGGGTCATGTTCTTCATTTCCTTTCTATCCCACTGTTTAGTACAGTGTAAGGTATGCAGTAAAGACTAAATGAATGAGAACAATGTAAAGACGTCAAATATAGTGGGGGATAAACTTGGAATTCCAGAAGAATAGGAAATGATCAGGAGGAACTGTGACCTCTTTAGAAGAGAAGTCAAAATGAGGAATAATAAAATGTTGGAAAAGATTTTATTTCCTATTTAGGTGTGAAGGGGATAGGAGAGAAGGAGAAGTACACTTTTGCAGTAAGTAGTGCTCATGAAAGGTTTTTTTAATTCAGGAGAGATATAGTTAAAATATGTTTAAAAGCTGAAGTGAGAGCCCATAGAGATGGAGATGTATGTTATTAGAGAGAATAGATGGGAGCTGAAATTTTTATTAAACTTTCTCTAAGAGAGGAAAATCTCTGCAGTGTAATAAAATTGGAAGAGCAGTTTGAAATTTTGTGCCAGATCTGCTGAATTTTGAAGTATAACTCAGTTACCAGTTGTAAACACCCTTCAGTTTCTAATCCTGTGTGGTTGTCAGTTCTACCTCTCATCTTATTTGAGGCTGTTTTCCTTAAGAAACAAATGTGTATGTTCTTGGTAGCTAACTCTCCCCATCTTTTCTTAAAGTTTCTGAAAGAGTTTTATGTGGAGGGAGCTGGTTTGTTCTTCTGTTTTAACAAAGAACAGAGATGGACTGAAGCCGAGCAGGCAAGATTTAAGTTAGGGACACAAAAGGATTGCTTGTGTTAGAGGGTTGTTGATTTTTGAAAAACTAAGTGATAGAGGTTTTCAAATCTTCATCCTCCTTAATAGCCATGAATCCAGTCTGGATTGTGTATTATCTTTCTGGAGACAATGGGCAAAGAAGACTTGCAGCTTTTTTTGTAGTTCTCAGTTTTTAGGAATGTAGGTTTGAGCATTCATTCCCCCTGCCACCCTCCTCCACACACCCCTCACATTTTTCCCCCAATTTTCTCCTGATTGTATGGTTGTGCTTTGAGCCTTTAAATATGTGGCTCTAAGAAGAGTTTGTGTAGGTGAGTTTCAGGGAAGAGAAAAAACTGGCAATAATCTAATTTCAGCTTTTGCTCAGTGTTTGAGCCCAGATATTACTAGTATTGAGAGTCTTTAATCTGCTTATTTGGTTGGGCCTGGGGAGGTGGGTGGCAGGGTGCAGGGAGCATATTCATTTTCAAAGTATCTATGGATCATTGACTCTAGCTTGATGGATCTCGATGTCAGGGAGAAGTTAGCAGTGCAGTGAGATATCAGAATACCTGTGCATCATCTTAAGACTGCACATTCCTGGGCCCCATCCTGGCTATATGAAATCAAAACCTCTAGGGGTAGAGTTTGGTACTTGTGTTGTGTTAAGTTCCACCAGAAGCCCACTGCTGGGTTATGAACCCCTGGCTTAAGTGCTAGGACCCTGAAATCTGTTGGTTTCATACCCAAAGTCCTCTTGGAAGCTTCTTGAGGATATATAAAGCTAGCCCAGTAAGTGTACTCTTCTCCTTGAGTAGTTTTTATTACCACTACATCTTTAGACTGATTGCTCCATAAACTATGTCAGGGATAGCTCTAAGAGAACTGTCCTGTTGTAGGGTCAACTCAGCTATGAGGATCTGATCATTGCTGTACTAAGAGATCAGCCGGAATTCCCTCTGTGGGCAGCAATAGGAAACTTCACGATAATATCCCTGATTCCTGGCCATTTTTTAATGTCACCATTCTACTACCCACTTCCCTTGGGACTCTTAGGAACCGAGAGTCTTTAGTGTTCAATACACACTCTCTGGGCTCCCCACCTAGACCAGAGGACCAAGAGTAGAGGCCCCTGTGGCCAGCAGCCCTGCCTCCCACCTGCCTTTGTGAATGAACGTGGGCAAGTTTTTCTCTCTTTCTGTATTCTTCAATTAAGGCTTCAGTGTATATTTCAGTTAATGGAATATCTTGTGGTCCTCAGAACAGGGGGTGTATAGTGAAAAGTGTGGGGTGTTTTCCAGGTTTTGTTTCTTTGATCATCATTTCTCCTTCTGGTGCCTGCAGCTGCCCTCAAAGTGATTCTCACTGGAGAGACCCAGCCACTCTAAACTTTGCTGTCTGAAAGAACCCAGCCTCTAAGTTGTCTTGCAAAGCTTTCCTTCATGCATTTGGCCTCGCTCACTTCAGAGTGTAATAGCCCTGCTGCCCTCCAAGTTTCTTTTTCCTCTCCCAGCTTACAGTTTAGGGCAAGTTTTCTCTGTTGAATCAGTTTGAGTCATTGCCTTATTTCCTGCTGATATTTTGAATGGTTTTGGGGTCAGCTCAGCTATGAGGATCTGATCATTGCTGTACTAAGACAGATCAGCAGGAATTTCCTCTGACTTGACATTTCTCTGACTTGACTTCTTGCTTTCATTTGTCACCTGAGTGTTTTCATTTTTTGGCTAATGAAAAAGCATTGGTAGAAGTGAGGCTTCAGCCTGACCTCTGTAACCTCTGTAACTCCATGAGTCTAAAAGATGGGCTTGTGGCTCTTCTTTCCCCTTTGCAAGACAGTCCAGGGCT